AATTGGCTGTTGAAAGATTGCATGCACCGAAGGAGAAATCCAAATTACTCGCATACTTACTGGCTGGGAAAACAGTGCAATTAATAGAGCCACGTGACCCACGCTTCAATATCAAGGTTACGTTAATAACTGTGTATAGCTATAGCTCGTCTCTGTATCAACGAGTATACCTTTCTTTCTAATTTCCTCTTTCCATTTAGTTTTAATTTCTTAATCGTTACGAATTTGCTGCAATGAACGTTATTATTGTTACGCGTAAAGCGACACGAGAGTATAAAAATTAATAATGTTGAAGGGAGCTGTTAGAGTTCTAACTTTAGATATTAGTATAGGGCATAGACTGATCTATGGAGTCACGTGATCCACGTATAGCGTCTGTTAGAGAATTAATAAGCCTCTACGACGATTCTAACGCGGCATAACTCTCGTAATGTAATATCAATGTCACCGAAAGCACATGTCGCAATATCTGCAACAGCTTCGACGATTTTTACGCAGCCCGAAATCATTTTCGGCGCGTCCCCCATACAAATCAGTCGCAACTTTCGTTATTGTTTCGAATACAGCCCGAGTAATTCGATTCTCAAAACATTCTTCGAAAAAGGCTTATTCGGTACAGTATCACGCATAAATCACTATTAAACGCGTGTTCGTTTAATCCCCCAACGTGAATCGGCGCCTTCCGCATCACCGTTTCGTCTCTAGAAATTCTAAGCCTCGTCAAAGCGATGTTTACAACTCTTTTTCTGCAAATCCACCGTTTTGACGAAACAAAAAAAAATCGTAATACGGATTCAATTGGCCCATTAAAGTGTTCGTGGGGCATGATGAATTCGATATTCATTGCTCGAGACGCGCTTCCGGAGTTACTTCTTCGCTGAAAACTTGCGAACAATTTCTAGGATGGTGATAATATTCGAATACTTGAATTTTTCAATTGGGACAATTCTGTGCTATAGAATAATAATATTCGAACAGATAAATATTTTAATTTACTTGGATACTTGAATTTTTCAATTGGAATAGTTCTTTACTATAGAATAATAATATTCGAACAGATAAATATTTGAATTTACTTGGATACTCGAATTTTTCAATTAAGACAGTTCTGTGCTATCTAACAGTAATATTCGAACATATAAATATTTTAATTTACTTGGATACTCAAATTTTTTAATTGGGACAGTTCTATACTGTAGAATAATAATATTCGAACAGATAAATATTTTAATTTACTTGGATACTCGAATTTTTTAATTGGGACAGTTCTATACTATAGAATAATAATATTCGAACAGATAAATATTTTAATTTACTTGGATACTCGAATTTTTCAATTAAGACAGTTCTGTGCTATCTAACAGTAATATTCGAACATATAAATATTTTAATTTACTTGGATACTCGAAGTTTTTAATTGGGACAGTTCTATACTGTAGAATAATGATATTTCAACAGATAAATATTTTAATTTACTTGGATACTCGAATTTTTCAATTAGGACAGTTCTGTGCTATAGAATAATAATATTCGAACAGATAAATATTTGAATTTACTTGGATACTCGAATTTTTCAATTAGGACAGTTCTATATTATGGAACAATAATATACGAACAAGTATTAGAATTTACTTGGATTTTATTTGTAGCATTTAAATATTGAAATAATAAAGTTGTTCTTCGACCCAAATTCGAACAGCTGGTGTTATAAGTGGTATTTGTTCAATAGATCAATATTGGAAGTTTGGGGATGAGAGGATGTGTTTGAGGGTTAAAGGATGCAGGTTGTCCCGAAATCGTGCCGATGGCGATTCTCGCGAGAAGCGGTCGAACCGAAGGAAATTAATATATCTGGTACAGTCGTTCCTCCGAGGAGGGAAAAGATCGACGACCCGGGAACGTATCTGGGTTAGTAGTCGTCGGCGATTCACGCGGAAACTTCTTTCGCTAGGAGGGCTCGGCAACGTGGAAATTCGCAAGGTGACTCGTTCATGCCTCCCGTTGTGTGAGTACGTGGACACGTGTGTGCCCGACGCGCGTGCGTGTGTCCCTCGAAAAGTGAAATTTCGGACGGGCCACGGTGCCAAACCAACGAAATTTCGTCACACGAATTCGCCCGGAGGTCAACGACCTCGCCCACATACCCGACCGAGTCACTCTCCGGAGTGGCGTCGTCAAATTGCTCGCAGATCGGATCTCATCGACCAACCGCGTCCATTGAACCGATTAAGACTCGAGAAACAAACAAATAACACGAAGCAATTTAAATTAAAACTCGAATAATTTTAAATTAAGAAACACAATTCGGGATACGACTTGCTTCCTCTTTTGGAACTTATATTTTCTTGATCGATACGAGCTTAGGTAATCTCTTCGCTCCTCGAAAGTGATATCTTTGTGATCTTGCTACTTTTAACACGTTGATTGTCAATTTAAAATTTACGAAGCCTATTGAAATTTATTTTCTTCGATATTTTAACTTGAGAATTAATTGTCAAAGTGTTAAGAAGCAAACGCAGAACAAACTTCATAGCGTATAGTTCTCAGAAAGTAGAAACGAAACCGATCGATTGATAATATTATTGTACAAATGAAAATTGTTCGTGACCTATTAATTATTGCAGATGTAGGAAACGTGCCTGTCGACGAATCCACGGGTTAATTAATCTCTGGGCACCAAGCGTGTTAAGGAAACCTATCGCGCGACTCGCGGCAAATCCGGCTGTATAAATCGTACGCGCGAGAACGTTAATGCTCGCGGCGATACGTTAAATTTTTTCGTTCTTCATTATTTTTTTTGGAGGATTTGTTATCCCGCAATAAGCTTAATTTATACGCGGCGACGCATATTTATTAATTTGCCGTTCATGAATCATCCCGCGGGTATTTTCGCCCGAGATCCCGCAACCTGTATCACCTGTCGAATACTCCTCGCGACTCTCTACTGTAATTATTCATCATTACTCCAAAGGTTCCTCACCCGTCGAGTAAATAAATAGTTTTTTTAATACGAAAGTAACGAAATATTAATTGCCCCGTTGAACGTCGATCGATAACTCATTCGAGACGACTTCGTTAGAGTTTGCAGAAGTGAATTATACACGAAAATGTTTAATAATCCGTTGGAACCTTGACTTCGGTATCTATGCGAATGCGGTTACGTCGATAAGGGAATCCTCGTTTCTAAAATTAATATTCGATGACCCTACACTGAGATCGTAACGTCGTGTCGAGATTTTTACACGAGCATTATTAAAATGGAGTTTATACAGTGTTCGACCACCCCTGGGAAAAATTTTAATTGGGAGATTCTAGAGATCAAAATAAGACGAAAATCAAGAATATCAATTTCTTGATTGAGGCTTCATTAAATAGTTATTAAAAAATTTCAAATCATTCTGAAAAAATTATTTTCGGTTGCGGGGATCAATTACAATCATTTTTGGTGAATAGACATATCCCTGAAATCTTGCGCATTTTCGAGAAAACAATTCGAGAAGGTGTGAAATTTTTCGGTGAAAAAAAAAATTTCAAATTGTTTTGGAAAAATTATTTTCGGTTGCAGGGATCAATTACAATCATTTTTGGTGAATACACATATCCCCCAAATCCTACGCATTTTCGAGAAAAAAATTCAGGAAGGAGGACAAATTTCTCGGCGAAAAAAAATGACGATTCGTTTAAAAAAAATTATTTCTAGATTCTGGGATCAAATACAACCATTTTTGGTGAATACACATATCCCCAAAATCCTACGCATTTTCGTGAAAAAAATTCAGGAAGGACAAATTTTTCGGCGAAAAAAAAAAATTTCAAATCGCTTTGGAAAAATTATTTTCAGTTGCAAGGATCAATTACAATTATTTTTGGTGAATATATATACCCCTGAAATCCTGCGCATTTTCGAGAAAAAAATTCGGGGGAAGTATAAACGTTAATAATTTCTTAACGAAGCTTCCAACAACAAATTGGTATTCTTGATTTTCGTTTTATTTTGGCCTCTATCTTGCATTAAAATTTTTTCCCACGGTTGGTCGAATATCCTGTATATTTCTATAATGGTCTCTATACGCGTACAAATTGTTTCTAACGAACGCGAATAAATCATATAAATCGAATACGTTACAATTTTCCGCGCGAATTAATTTCTGGGGGAAAGAGAATCAGCATTATTGTTTTCAGGATGACGTTTCCCAGCCTCGTTGACAGATCTCGCCGTGGAAAATGATCGAAATGCGCCGCGCATGGTCGCGATGTTTACGAGGGCGAACGAATTTAATTATTTTCAAATTTCCGGCCGAAAGTAGTCGGGTGTCGCGTGGATTAAAAGCGTCCTGCCGTTAAAATTCGCACGCACGACGGGATTAAAGCGGAATCATTTTATTTTGGGTGAAAAGAGACGCGACGCGCGCCCCGGCGCCGATAAAGCGCAATTACTACTATAAATTTGATTCCGCCGGCGGAGGCATTTCCACGGAATTACGAGTAAATCACGACCGACGCGATATTCTATTAATTTCAGGAACACCGCCGAGTGAATTATTGCCAGTCGATACACTGCAGCGGCGCGCGGCGATCGAGAATACCGAAAAATCGTCCGAAAAATGCTAATCCCGCCATTTCTGATTCATTTATACGCGCGCGTTTTGTCATGCTATTTAAATTATTACATCGCTGGCCAGGAAAAATAGACGTCAAACGCGTTAGAAGCATTCTCGATATTCACCCAAATTACAGAATAAAATGTTTAATCGTTGAATCGGTTCAAAAAGAAAATATGATTTTTTACGAACGATCGCAAAGTTTCACGAAATCGCTGGCACATGGATTTTGTGAAATTTTTTTTATTTAATCGACACTGGATATGGTGTCTCACATCGTTGATTAGTAAAAAATCAGGAGTGGCAGAGATTGGAGCAGTTAAAAAATGATGCGTATTTTCATAAATGATATAACAACAGAAACAAGGGCAAAAAACAAGTTCATTTGAATAGACTTACATTGTAGAAAATTCCTGCGCTACTTTCCTTGCTTCCGATGGAGTATTTTTACTTTCCGACCTATAAGAAAGGAAAGTGTTATTGTCACGAAAAAATACAAAGTAATTTTTTACATTACTCAGTCGTCAAGTCTTATATATTAAGATCAACACATTTTTGCATTCACGAGGCATTCGTAAAACAAATCTATTTTTTTTCATGGTCATTCCTTGTACGAAGAAATTTAAACGAAATTAAATAGTCTTATATATTAAGATCACATTTTTACATTCACGAGACATTCGTAAACAAATTTATTCATTTTCTTGACCATTCCGTTTGAAAAATTATTTGGTATTAAATTATACGTCAAGAGGTTAATTATTACGAACCAAAGGGTGAGTAAGAATGTTTTACAAAGTATTCGACTAACTTTGTCAGACCTTCGCGAATTATCCACCGACTCGATGGGTTCTGAAGTGTTCGATTTTGCAGTAGATGGTCGATCATCTTTAATTGCATGTCGTGCGCTTGTTTACGCCGGGAATACATAAAGGTGTTCACGGTGAACGACCGTCGCAGCGGGCGGGGAGGGACGGTGTATTATCTCGACCGGTGAGAATCGGTCCTTTGTGCGCGCTCGCGTCAGAGTTAGCGCGACAGATTTCGTTCGCGTAACCTTGCAGATGGAATCGAGACCGGTCTTCGGGATTAGGATCCGCGTAGGTTCGACGACCGTCGTTTCTCTGTTACACGAGGTGTCGATGGTCCCGGGAGAGCTAGGCCGTTGCGATGACGCGTAGACGAAAAGAAGAGCCGCACAGTGAACGGCCGTTCAGCCAAAGTGAACGGGGTTACCGATCTCGAGTGGCCGTGACTCTGGCCCGGGGTCTGGGCCAGTCGGATTCCATACACCCGGTGTACCAAAACCACTGGCCACCTCCCTCGAAAAACATTCGACACCTCCGCGAAGATTCCTACGATCGCCACAGGTGACGATTGTAACCAGAATTAAAATCAAAAGTACTCGTCGACGCGTAAAATTAAATTTTGTCTGGCTGCTTTACAAAATTCTTCTTAACCCTTTGATTTTGATGCAAACATAAATTGCGCGCGAAAAACTTTTTCGTGACTTATGCAACACACGGGCTGAACGCTCATAGGTGTTTAACGCACGTAGTCGACTGACTGAGCACCTATAGGCACTTTTAGTAATCAAAGGGTTTGCAATGGACACGATTTAAAGTTTCTGTTAAGAATGAAAGAACATAAATAAAATAAGATTCAGACACCAAGGGGTTGAATAATTTTTCCCCCTCAAGGGTGAAAATAATTCAGAGGGTCAACACCTGTTGGAGCATATTCCCAGCGCATCGTTTTGAACCTAGCGTTCATCTAGGGCGCGGAAATGATCTTTTTTATTCAGGGGGGTTCCTCTTTACGAAGATTCGTAAACCACTGGCGTAACGGTAGTGTTAATCGTATATGGAGAGAGAATCGTTCGGGGGGAGTGAAAATTGTTAAGGGTGTAGATAGTAGACCGGTCTGGATCGATTTGGGCCGATTTACATTCACGCGGCTCGTACGTGATCGGCGTATGCACCGAGCCGTGAATGGGAAAAGAGGGTGGGAGTGAGCAAAGGGTGGCGTTGGGGTTAAATGCACGTCCCCGTGAAGGGGTTGCGAGAGGACAACGGACGCGGAGAAACCGTGCGAGAGGGACGCACCGTAGAAAAACCACTCGCTCAAAGGAGAAGTAAACAAGGACGGTAGAAAAACACCGCAGGATTTTTGTAGACGGTCGTCTGGCTTGAAAATTTACCAGACCAGAAGAAATTGTCCTTCGATGACATTGTTAATAAGAGTTCCCTGACCTACGGGGTACGTTTTACATGCTTTCGTGATCGTCGACGCGAAACAAACTCTTTATACAATTGTCGTTCGATCGATCGTGGCGCGACTTTAACGTTTTCCACCCTATTGGGCCTTTCGGAAAACGTAAACCACCTGGAAATAAAATTATATAAGAATTTAATACGTATACGGTGTATATAGATTTCAGTGCCCACGAAACCCTGCACGGGCTCTTAAACGATCAAAAGAATCCTTATGCATTAATTCCACTGTTTTGTACGATGATGTACAATTAAGTCACTGTATCGTTTGCTTCTACGTTCGTGTAGAAATCTTTGATATGATTTGTGTCTCTGAAGACTCTATTTTGGCTTTGAGTTCATTAAACAAAAATTTATCAAAATGTTTATGTAACTTCGGGTTCTAAAAAATGGACGATGTTTCGAGATTCTTTTCTTTTTAAATTAATGGGACATGAATTGAAATATTATTTGTCAACTTTTTAGAATTTTAACCCTCAAGTGGATCATAGGGGACGCTGCAGCCCTCTGCAAGTTTAAACTAATAATTCTTTAATATATGTAAATGTAATTATTTGAAAATTTATGTAATCCTCCATTAGTCCATTATTTTTTAAATGCTTTAAAGGAAACTTAATTTCCATTTACCAATTTGGTGCAAAAACAACAAAGTAAAATCATTCAGTTGAGATTGAAAGTCCACTTAAGGGTTAAAGAGACCTCGATTTCTTTCGCCTCCAAAGTTCCCCGTACAATACATAGTTAATTACTCGAATTTCACCATTAATATCTTCCCAAGACTTCAAGACTATAAGAGACAACAAGAAAATAGAACCTACTTGAACCAAACAGACCCCCTAGCGTAATATTCTCGACCAGCCATCGCGATAAGTGCCGCAGTCCCCTAAATCGTATCGAAAGTCAGGTGATGTTTTCACGGAGGGAGGAGGGGGTCGTTCCGTGTTCCCCATTCCGCTATTCTTCGTTCCTAATTGCGTGCCAGAAGGTAAACGCTTCTTTTCTTGGATCATTCGCCCACCCGTTCGCCCTATCGATTTTACGCGTTACATAAACCACCCCCGCCAAAACTGAGACGTCTTGCAAAACCCGTTCGAATTCGCCACCGTTGGTCGGGGGTTACCTCGACGGTCGAGCCGCCCCCGCGCGTAAACACCTGGACGACATGGGGTCACGTGCACGCGCGATCGTTTTTTTCCGACCGCCTGCCCCCCCTCCCCCCACCACCGGTTCGTTCACGTTGTACGCATCGATGCGGTAGCATCTTGCGATCGCCGAGAACTTAACCGAAGAATTAAACTTAGAAGCGATCGGCGCATGCACCCTGTCGGGCATCGACGAACAGAGACAGAGCTGGGCGGCATGGAAAATCCGAGGACGACGGGAGAAAGAGAGAGAAAGGGGACACGGTTGCACGCGCTGGAGTAGCCAGAGGGGTTGAAAGGGGTAAACGAGAGCGTGACCGAGAAAGAGGGGAAGAAACGAGGCGCGTCGAGCGAGCAGGACGAAAGAGGGAAATGCACGAGAGGTGCCACCGCGAAGGGGTGGGGCGGGACGAGGACAGAGCAACGGGGTTGACGAGGAGGGGACGATCGTGCATCGACGGGGGAACGAGGGAGAAAGACACACGCGAGTGGAAGGGAGAGAACGGCCAATGGTCGGAGTGAGAGGACCGCTAGGATGAGGAACGTGGGCGCAAGGGAGGCACGAGAGGGAGGGGGAGGGAACCTCTGGCAACGGGTCGATCGAAAGCGCAGCGCAGAGAAATGCACCACCTCTGCTCTGGTCTGGCAGCTTTGCTGGCACACCACCGCGTCCGCGTTCGACGGAAAAGGAAGCAGGACGAAGAGAGAGAGGGACAGCCAGCGACCAATACCGACGCAGAGGGAGGACGAGCCAAGCCGACTCGCGTTGGGCTAGGTCAGGTCTACCCGAGTTCCACACACCGTTCTCTGCGTGTGCCATCCGAACAGACCCCGAAAGGCGGAGACCACCCTCGAAAAACGGGTCGTGAAACGGGGAAATCGCGGGACCCGCGCGTGTGCCCCAAGTAAACCGTGATCCCAGTGCCGGTTTATCAATTTTTTTTTTTTTTTGCCATTTCCTATTCTCTGTTTTTTTACCTGCAAATTTTCCCTCCCTCCCCCCTCGGGGAACGAACCGGACCTCCGCGGCGTGCCTCGATCCTCTCGTCGAGAGGGTCGACGGGAAAGTTCGACGTTTGTTTCGTGGTGACGTACGAATCCGGAATCGTTCGAAACGGTCGATCGACGCCGTTTCGAGGCGCCCGAGCGTCTGTCTCGGTTGTTACACCTGGGGAAAGTAAAACGGGGTGCCAGAGGAGAGGGGTGCGTAGACGGAAAGAGGTGAAGTGCGTCCAAGTGGTTCGCGTGTGCGTTTTCCGAAACGAATACACACGGTGTGCTTCCACGGATAGTTTTCCAACGATCCTGCGGTGTGATTTCTCGGAAAAAAACCGAACCCCCGTGCGCTGGTCCCGGAATCCTCGGAACGGCATCGGAGAGGGATTGTTGTTGATAAACAGCGAGGAAGGGAGAGTGTCGGCGGTTGATCGAGCCCGGGGTGCAACGGCAGCGCCGATTCCAATTTCGTTTTCTCGATGTCCTGATAATCGATAAGCGTCGCGTAGGTGGCTAGAGGACCGCCTGGGGCCGGCAGCGATCGGCCTTATCGACGTTCGACAAATTTGTCCCCCGAAGGGGTGCTGAATCTACGAAATAAATGTTCAGGGTAACCGGCGTCGTGTTTCGTCCCTCAGCGCGAGGCCAGCCCAGGCTCCCGGGTGTCCTCAGACTCGGCGGGATGCCGATCTCCCTTAGAAATCACAGGATCACGTAAGGGGGAAACCGGAAGACCCGTTGTTGTTTGCTTATCACGACCAGCCGAAACCAACCAGACGGTGCAGGGAACCGATGCACCAAAAGGCGTGAGTAACGATGCACGCCGATCGTCATAGATTTCGAAAATAATTCATTCAAAGATCCTCTTCCAACCCTCCCGGTTGCTATATCAGTCGAGCTCTCGGTGAAAACGAAACGCTACGGGGGTGAAAACATTGCACATGCCCTTTACGGGCATCGATTTTGTCGAGAGCTTCAGCCCTGCACACTGCGAGTGCAACGGTCATTCACCAAAAGTTAGCTCGATGCCCTGTCCGTTGCACCGACTTTCAGCCCCTTTGATCATCCACTTTGGACCAGACGCGACCAGTGATCGCGTACCGACGTCGATTCCCTAAAAATCCTAAACGACAGAGACAGGTTTCAACCCCTTAAAAATCAAAACAAAGGAGCCCTGCGTGAGAGGAGAACGTGAATGAATCGAAGGAGAACGACTAATGTCGCCGATGAACCGAGGAAAGAATCCTCTCGATCGAAGGGGGATGAAACAGGCGAGAGGGTGGTCCGGGGAAAGCAAAAAGTTACGCGGAAAGTTAACGAATAGTGAACGGGAGGGGGGGTTGGTAGTGCGCGATTTCCACGGAAATGGAAATTCAACGAGTAGCGAAAACCCCCGCTGGCTGGGCGGTTGGGTGGGAGAGGGGGTGGCGGCGGGCGGACTTCGGAGTTTATGCCCCGTCCCCCTCCCACTCACCCCTGCAGTCGATCAATGCGTGGACGGGTTTCACTTTCGCGGTGTTAAAGTGTTGCACCATCGCCGATTCAACGGCCAGAAAAACGCGAATTTCGCGTCGCACGCGTTAAACGTCGTCGCGAAAAATACCAAATGGCGAACACCGATCGGTCAACGACGGAATTTTATGATTCAAATTTTATTTTTACGACCCCCCGACACTGTAGACAATTTATTAGAGGTTTCAACGATCGTTTTTTCTTTGAAAAGTCTCTAAGAAACAAATAACGTAAATGTCTAGGGACCGAACGAAAATGAAGAATGAAATTCTTTTGTACGAGGTTTTCCGAGAAAATCGACTTTGAAAATTTGCTGGGTAGGCGATTCCGTATTCTGATTGTTTTAATCTTATTTAATATCGTAGTATAACAATATTAAACGTTCAAGGAAAATTTTATTAAGTATTCGTCGAGGTTTATTGAGAAAGGGTGAGCACGTACGAAGCAAATGGGTGATAGTAAGAGCAACTTCTTAAACGATAATGTTGTAGAAAGTAAGTTAATAAAGTAAACTATTTCGAAAGTGAACGTTCCGTGTTTTGTGTATCCCTGAATATTTAATAGAATTAATTTCAACAGAAATGCGAGTAATATGCAGTAAAACAGCCCGACATGCGCGCACCCCGAAAATGTCGAAAGTCTATTCTATATTTTCGATTCGTTTTCTCACGTAGAATCGTCGTGAAAATCATACTGAAGCAAAAACAAAAGACAAATTTGTTAAAGTTGAGTTTCATATACAGTTTATAATAAATTAAAAATACAAAAAAGTGTGTATAAAGTACAAATAAAATAATGTTATATCTCGAATGAAAGTTCATCCCGTTTATCGGTAAAAGTAAACGCGATTAAATATAATAATGTTAAATTTAGAACGACGATAGAGGAAGAACGGAAACAACAATTACGAACCAATGTTATCAAAAACAATTCAATGTTTATAAAAATAAAAGCAGAATAGAATTATTACAAATAAATGTGTTTCTAAGAAGAACATGTAAATAATACTCGATCTGAAGTTTACATTTGGAAGTATCCATAACGAAACACTATAGAACTGCAGACTATTGTAGTGAACACTATGATTTCCAGTGAGAAATTAAATGCAATGCAAAATTAGACAATTTTGACCAATTAGAAAATATAACTATTTTAATTTGAAAACCGAAAAAGTATTCAACGAAAGACACGTGGATCTTTTCAAGCGTTTTCAAAATTAACGCCTCCAAGAGTTATCGATTGTATCGATTTACGAGAATCGCGACTATATTTATAGCCTTCCACATTGTTGGACGTCATTATGCATCGATACCTCCATCGCGATTTCCGCGTTTATAAAGAATTTATAAATATTCCGATACGCTTCGTACGTGATGCGACACGAGACGACAAAATTCACACGAAATGTCCAAGGATAGATATCGCGTGCTCGAGCTGTCAGTGTTTAAAAGCAGCTCGAAAATTTGTAGAGAGACTCCCCAAAGAAATTATGGCACCGATTCAAGGAACGTAACAAAGAACGTTTCGAAACCACAAGTTACCCAACCACGAGATTCATTGAAACAAACACGAAAACCGATCGAACCTGTCTCTGGGAACTCGAAAATAACGGCGTTGATATAAGTGCTAAACATTTGGTAAACAACTCCTGAATAACGGTGTCTGAATTCCTATAGAATCCTCGAATAGATGCAAAGATCCTAAACTCGAGTTAAAACGTTTCGATCCTTTTCAATTTAGAATTCAAATGCTTGTTAATTTGACAAAGCTGTTGAAGCAGTGTTAGACAAATTCTAAATTTAAATAATTGCATAATTTCATAGGTATATATGTATGAATTTAATCCTAATCCTACCTAATCCTTCCATAATCCAGGTGCAAGTGCATTTTCATTTTTCACTAATTAGAATTCATTCACGCAACTCGCAATAAGAGTTGTTTTTATCGAAGTAGTCTTTGGGCTATCTGAACTTTTATAATAAATATTACTACCTCGTCTGTAGTTTATTATCAAGCTGATTCGAACCTAAACTTAGGAGAAGTTTTGAAATGAAATTTAAGACACTTTTCCATAGCCATTTTCAAATTGTCTTTGCTACGAAGGCTGAGCCTTGGTGAAAAATCCACCTTTTCCTTTGCCAGAGAGTCGTAACAGCCAAGGATTCTATTACTCCATTCAGCACACCTTTTTGGTAGACTTTGACCCCGATTTTATGGTCTTTCTCACATAAATGACGGTGAATCACAACTCGATGGGACACTTCCCACAAAACAATTTCTGGCTTTCTGGTGGAATAGGCTCGAATCCATTTATGGAGGCTAATAAACTCTTAAAATAATAAACACGACCTGTCAAACTTTATAACCCAATAAATAAGGCGGTAATTACTATATTTTAAAAAGATACACGCGATGCAAATTCAATTCCTTATTAGGACGCGCATGATTCGAACGTAAAAATGTGAAAATCCACGTCCAAAAACATTAATTACCGGAGCATGAGTTCGTGACTATCAGCAATATTTTTATTGCACTGTACCGGTAATTTATTTAAGTATGTAAATGCCTACATAATTTATTTCCAAGACTTATTGATTTTATTTTGACACTCCAGTTACTACTCGACCTTGATGATTATGTTTTTTGTAGACGCTTCTTTGATCAGAGATCATACGTATCTACGATATAGAAGCCATCATGGTAAAACTAAATTCATTTTTTTATCACTTTATTTCGTACAAACAAAAACAAACTTTCCAAAGAAACTTTTCGAAAAGAACACTTTCTATGTCAAAGCACAACTGCAATTATTATTTGATAAAACCAAACAATATACATATTATTTAACTCTGTTGTTCTACGTACAAATGAGAGCAAAATAAAGGGAAAAGTCTTATACTGATCTACGCCATTATCACGCGTAAAAACAAGAGGAAAATAATTTGTACAATCGACGAAATGTTTGAAGTAAATGAATGTGCAATCGACAGATCAATTATGTTGAGGAGGCATCTAATATTTTTGTTCATTTTTCTGCGCAGTGAAGGATGGAGGCCAGCGAGTGGGATCACGCGACCTTGAGGGAAGAGGAATTCGAGCAGCATGCCGTGTATTTGGTACCGGATGTGGCGGCGTCGCCGGGCGACACCAATCGCGCGGAAGCGTCCCTGCCGAGAAATTTGGTCCTCAAGCCCTCTCAGGCCCTCAACGATGTACGTTCCTCCGCCAAAGAATCATTTCTCGAAACCTCCTCGGTGAGAGTCGCGAGAATCATGAAAATTTGTCACCCGAATCGAAACATTAGGGACCCCTTTATTCACGTCGCGCGTACAACACTTTGGCTGCCAAAAATTCCCATCGAGACGAAATATTTTATGCTCGATAAAAGATTGAAGATAAATTCAAAAATAATGTATGAGTGATTCTACAGAATTGAGAAATTATTATCGACCTGTGGAGTGTTTTTATTTTTTAATTCGAATATAACAGACACTCGTATGGCAGCCAACGTGTTAATTTCTAAACACCCACTCTTATTTCCATGAGTCGATTATTTTTTATTTGTTTACGAATTTCGATTGTTTGAGAAACTTTTTGATAGAGATTTTGCCCATTTCTGGCCCTGCCTGGACGTTCCGCTCGATTCGGAGTAAACAATCTCGACCAAGGGATTCCCGGCGAATCGAACTCGATAAAGTAACGAAGCTAATCAACTTAGCGAGCGTGACCTAGAGCTGAAGTCAATCGTTACACTTTCCTCGCCGACGAGAAACGAGAACGATAGCCTTGGTCACCGCGCGTCGCTCCCAGAAGCGATCAAATTAACGCGACCACTAATTTCACCCGTAAATTCGCGAACCAGATTTTTTCCAAATTTCATTCGCACCGTCGTCGAGCGATCTTAAACGTTTCCCCTCGCGAATACGAGGTTTTTTTCGAAAACGTCCCGCGGACAAAACTGTTTAATACCAAGCGCGGTGCCAACGGCAGCTGAATCGACAAAAAACGCTTTCTGCATTATTGAAGCTCCGCCTGGGCTGACGCTCGACGTTCAACAAAGAAAGGAAACATCGCGTCCTCGGAGCCGCCATGTTTTAAATAATTTTCTCGCGTCCCCGAAAAACCTGGACGTTCTGCAATCGACATAAAGAAGGAAAAAATAGAGTGGAACCTCCATTATCCATTCTAGCTCCTATTAGAATAAAGATCCTTCGATCTTGCAAAATTCACACTCTGATAGGGGAATTAATTTAACTTCATTACGTATTTAACTGTCTGAAAGTGAACATGCTTTTTCAGTAAGATGAATATTTTAGAGATTCCAATTTAGTTAGAAAATCAAACAAAATTCGAGAAGCCCCACTTTGCTATTATTATTAGACACAAGTCCAATTGTCAGCTAACCAGTGACGATTAGAATTAGTTCTACCCATTTTGTGATCTGAAACGTTTAAGAAAGAGTTTGGATAAAGAAGGTTCCACGTAGCCCAATGTCCCGAGTAACTGTAAAGGCTAATCGACCGTTATCCGGGTGTTTAGGTTTTGGGCGTTTGGAGCACGAGTTACATCCCCAAAGGGACGAGGTTCGGACCACTTGTGGGCCAGGTGTACACCAAGGACTCGGTGCCGGCCGACGCGAATCGAAAGTACTTCTGGAGGGTAAGGAATCGTTCGGTGTTCGAAGACCTCGGTTATTCCGCGAGCGCCGGTTATCATCGTCCGGGGCCGGTCTTCCCGCGGACGACGCAGAGAGAGAGAGAAAAAAAAAAAGAAATATTGTTAAGACGGGAACAGGAAAAAGGAAGGATAAAGAGAGAGAAGCCCAGCGAAGACCAGAAACTGGTTTCGACCGATCTAGCCGAGCCTTAAAGCGAAACCCGCCAAGCCATTGATGCCTCGTAACGAATTGATGAGTTACGATAGAGAACCTAGGTTCCCTCTCGATTCTCCCTACTAAATCGCCGATATTTCCTAGCCTCCGCGGCTTAACCGCCTCGAACGTCGAGGATTTAGCTCGCGCTTCATCTTCGTCTATGGTCCGCGTAATATCGCGTTAACCCTTTCGCCGCGAGATCTCTTTATTTCTCGAGGTCTTCGAATCGCTAAAAAATTAACCTCCTGATAGGTTTGCAACCGAGTCACGGACGTTTCTATTCGACAGGTGTACAAGAACAACGAGCTGTTCTATTACATCGACGGTTACGACGTCCAGAAATCAAATTGGATGCGTTACGTAAACCCGGCTTATTCGTCCGAATCGCAGAACCTGATAGCATGCCAGTATAAGGTGGGTCGAATTCGCTTGGCGTTTTTTACGCGACTCCCGACACGCTCGAGGCTCATCCGGATTTCTTTATCCCTTTTTGCAGATGAACATTTATTTTTACACAATCAAGCCGATACTACCGAACCAAGAGCTTCTGGTGTGGTATTGCAGAGAGTTCGCGGAAAGGCTCAATTACCCGTTAACGGGCGAACTGATGCTTCAAAGAATACGTGAGTATCTTAACCCTTAAGTGGATTACTATGGTTCTCCGCAAGCTTAAACTAATATTGCATAGTACATGTCGAGGTGATTATTTGATAATTTAGCGAGACACGTACAGCATTCTGCTGAGGCACATCCCAAGTTTCATATTCGATAGAAACAAGTCTAATCATTAATTTCAATTTTAATTACAATATTACTATTTTTCTCAACATATTCGAACACGTCCTGACTTTGATAACAAAAAGACACCTTCATATTTTGGTCAGCATTTGAGCAAAATGGGCTAGTGTGCTAACTAAACTAAGATCGAGAGTACACTTAAGGGTTAAAATAGAAATTCTCGTAGAAAATATGAAGTTACATTTCTTGTTTTGTTACTTCAGGACAACAAGTACAACAATCGGCGTTACCAACCGAAATCATTCCGCCCAGCGTGGACGTGGTGTCCCCGCTGAAGGATTCGTCGATCTACGAGAGACGATCGCAGATGACGCCGACGGACGGTTCCGTACGATCGGACGAGGGATACCATTCGAACTATCACGACGAGATCCTGACGCCGCCGGAGGAGAGCAGCGAGTCCGACTCGGAGAACAACTACGTGCTGGACTTCAGCAAGAACGCGAAAACGTCGGTGTGCAGCAACGAGGTGCTGAAGCAGGACAACGCGGCGGCGAAGAACGAGTACAGGAAGGTGAAGATCAAGATCACGAAGACCTACGGTAACTTCCAGACGACCAAGAGCCTGGACGGTACCGGTAAGGACAAGGATCAGGAGCTGTCTAGCAGGGCGGTGACGCCGGAGCTTCAGAAACCGATGTCGCCGATCATCCTCCAGAAAAACTCCGTTCTGTCGACGGTGAACGAGGACGAGATCCCGGAGAAGAACCCTAAGCCCTTCTACGAGCCGGAGGCGAAGGGCAACGTGACCGTTTCCGGTCGACCAGCCTACCTGACCAGCCCCAGCAGCTCCATCCTCGAGAACATCCTCTTGCGCAGCAGCACCGACAACAACAACAACAACAGTCACAATCACCATCACAACGGGGTACAGCAGCACCATCAGCACCATCAGATCCACCATCAGACTCACGTGGACTCCGTGACGCCGCCGCCGTCCAGCCCGACGGAGATGGCCTACTCGTACAAGAAGTCCCATCGTTACGGGAACATCCTGCCCTGCAGTCCGGACTCGAGCTCGAACCTGCCCATGCAGCCCGACGCCTGTGTAAATTCCACCAGCGGGAACAGCGCCCTGCCGATGCAGAGTCCCACGAGCAACCTGCACTCCAGCACGGGCAACCTTCACTCCAGCACCGGGCCCACCAACGTTCTCCAGTCCCATCCGGGCAGTATTCATTCCTCCAGCAACGCCAATCACCACACCAGCTCGAACCTGTTATCGTCCAGCACGATACTGACGTCCACGAGCAACCTCCACTCGTCCACGACCGCCTGCCCGACCAAGAGGAAGACCAAAAGCCCGTCGCCATCGGCGAACCCCACGGGCGCCTCCACCCCCACGATCCTCTACTCCAGTTCCGGCGGATGTCAGATCGAGTCCAGTCCCGTGTATCCAGGATCGGCGGTGAGCAGCAACCAGAGCGTGTCGCCCATCTCGCCCATTCAGTCGCCCTCCTCGTATCCGTACGGTATCTACCACCAGAACGGCTCGTTGCACCATAACGTGGCGCCGTTGACCATCAACTGCACCGCGTACTCGCCGACGCCCAGCGGAAACGTCGTCTACGAGAGGCCGGACGGCAGAAGGCTGGAGGCGGCCACCAGCAGCCACCAGCTGCCCACCTCCTCCACGATGCAGATCGACACCAACCAGGCGTTGATCGCTGGCACGCACAACCTCCACCTGGGCCATCATCCCGGCCTCACCATCCACGCGAACTCCTCCTCGATGAACCGGTACTCGCCTGCCAGCTCCCTGTCGCCCGACGATCACGGATGCTCGCAGAGCGGCTCCCTCAGCCCCAACTCCCAGGGATCCAGGGGCTACAGGTCCCTCCCTTATCCTCTCAAGAAGAAGGATGGGAAAATGCACTACGAGTGCAACGTATGCTGCAAGACCTTCGGCCAGCTGTCGAACCTCAAGGTCCACCTGAGGACGCACTCCGGTGAGAGACCGTTCAAGTGCAACGTGTGCACCAAGAGCTTCACGCAGCTGGCCCACCTGCAAAAACACCATCTTGTTCACACTGGTGAGTCGGGTTCACTGTTGTTAGACACGCACTTGCACTTCGCGATTATGTTCACTCGATGAGATTTTGGAATCACGCGTATATTTGCAAGTTTCGAGAATCGTTTCGCGCTCGGATAGATAGCGTGTTGACATTCTTGGTACCTGTTTACCACTGACTACTTCGTCGGTTTTCGACCGGTAATGGCGGACGCGTGCGCTAGTAGGATGCGTAATAAACGGAATGAGAATGTCAACACAGCCTAGCCTTGCTTCGTATAGATCACGATCAAGGCTAGGGCCACGTGGCGATTTGTTTACCGTCTCCAATCATCTTACTTTAGGTGTCATTAACACGTCATCAACATATGGGTGACATGATTTTTCATTAACTAAAACAATTCATTCACAAGATCAGATGTTAAAGAAAATCAATTTTAACAGGCTAAAAACTTGAGTCTCTTTTAACTCCAATCTCGACGAAATGAAAGTTTAGAATTGAAATGGGAACGTGATTGTGACCGTTACAGGGGAAAAACCACACCAGTGCGAGATCTGCAAGAAGAGGTTCAGCTCGACCTCGAACCTGAAGACCCACCTGAGACTACATTCCGGCCAAAAGCCTTACGCCTGCGACCTATGCCCCGCGAAGTTCACCCAATTCGTTCATCTAAAACTGCACAAGAGGTTACACACGAACGAGAGGCCCTACACATGCCAAGGCTGCGACAAGAAGTACATAAGCGCGAGCGGCCTTAGGACCCACTGGAAAACGACCAGCTGCAGGCCGAACAATATCGAGGACGAGCTTGCCCTAGCCGCGGCCGTGGGTTCCCCGACGTACTACGAGTACGGCCCTGACATGAATGTTGGTGAGTACTATGGAGAAGCTACCTTTGGTCTTGGGATATTTATCAAGATTCGCGTAAACCATTGTTTTCGAGCATTTTTAGACACGTATTCTACGTGGAACGAAAGAATAACCCACAATTATGTGGGTTAAAAGCTTCACTTTTAGACCCCTTCTAGTCCAAATTCGACTTGGCAATTTTTTCCTCCTTGTAGAGACTACACTTTCAAACACCTATTATTTCAGTATGCAGGGTGTTCGACTCTGGGAAAAATTTTAATGGGAGATTCTGGAGACCAAAATGAAACGAAAATCAAGAATAGCAATTTGTTGATCGAGGCTTCGTTGAAAAGTTATTAACATTTAAAGTGATAGTGTGCAGCTGTCCGCAGATTGCAGTTTCACAGGCGAAACTTTAAACGTTAATAACTTTCCAACGAAGCCTCTATCAACAAAATACTATTCTTGATTTTCGTCTCATTTTGGTCTCCAGAACCCGCTATTAAATTTTTCCCAGGAATGGCCGAACACCTTGTACGTCTGAAACGTTCTGTACGAGGTTTCGTGTTATTACCGTGGACGTAAAGAGTCCGTTTTCTCGATTTCAGGAAACATGCCGAAGGAATGCGAACTGGAGCACATCGACAATTACGAGAGGCACGGATCCGCTCACGGGCCGCACTCCACGTCCCTCCACAATCTGGAGAACTCCGTGAGTCGGCCAAGCGTCATAGAGACCTCCCAGCCTCACATAATCGAGTGCACCTAAAACCGGGGGTATGAGCCCTTTCGCTCCAGCGCAAAATCCAGCCGTGGAATGGTAAACGAGTTGCTCACGACAAACGAAAGCGACGTTTACCCTCGCGCGCGGTGGCAGTGAGAGAGAGAGAGTGAGAGAGAGAAGAGAGAGGAATAGAGAGAGAGAGAGAGAGAAAACCCGTGCTCTTGCGCTCGTCGTGCTTCCCTCTCGCGGCACGCGAGGGGAGGAGCTCATCCCGGTGACACCGTACGTCTTTTCTTAATTTCATTCGCCCCGCGGCGACCGATCAACTGTACGCGGGGGAGGATGGGTGGTGGCGAACGCGAATCAGAGACGGGCAACGTTCAATCGCGAGTAACAGACAACCAACGAAGACCAACCTGTAGCAATTTATTCGCGACCAACAGAACCCATATGGATGCGTCATCGGCTAAAATAAAAAAAATTGGTGGTGCGTTTAGAAAAAAAATTAATATATGAAGATTTTGAAGAAAGACATTTTGGCTCATGACGCGTCCATACGCGAGTTTGGTGACAATTTTGTTCGTGAAGATATTTTATTCTATTTTTCGTTCAACGGTTTACGGACGGAACGCTTATCTTTCATTCGTTGTCCGACGATTGGGTGATCACAGAGAGGACTTTGCCCGTCTCCGCGCGACACGAAAGTGATTGTTAAAACACGTTGTTGCTTGGTTATACTTGTTGAAACCGCGAATGGAATTAAAAGCTTTTAGCAGAGACACTCCTCCCGGAAGCCGGTTTACTCGATCGCGATACGCGGACGGACGAGAATCGGACGCGGTTCCCCGAGCTACGAGCGTAACAAAGTTCCTTCCTTGTAAATACTCGTTTCTATATTTTTTCTATGGTAGCCACACGAACCAACGAAGAGAGACCCGAACACGAAACGGAAGAACGACGAACGGACCGAACGAAACGATAACGATTTTTCTACCGTTAGAGATATCCGCGAGTCCGTCGAGCAAACGCTGCCATTTCCCGGATAGAATCGAGAGACGGGGGAGGCGAAAAGTCGTTCGAGCTTCTCGATTATCCTTCCACGGGTTACCCTAAAGCGATGCTTAGAAAAGGGTACCGTTAACAACCCCGGTGCTACGTCGTGCCGTTAACACGTTTTTTGCTACTCGTATACAAATCAACAGGCTTCCTCGCCAATACTTCCATCGCGGCAGGCTCTATCCCCCCCGACACGAGGCTGGACCCATACTATCCACTTCCTGTCAAATTTTAATCGCTGATGGAAATCTCGAATCAATTCGTAAACTAGCTTGGAACTTCATTTTATCGTAGTAATTGTTTGATTTTGTCTCCTTGGTCAACGATGGGAAAATATTTGCAAATCATTCGAACTGCTATCTAGACAGGAAGAGTGAAAAATTGAGGAAGATTTCAATGCAAGGAATGTCAACGAGTCTTAACCCCGTGACGTACGATTCAATTTCAAATTTTTCAAACGTGTACTGTTTAATTCAAATTTGTTCGTACAATGGCCACGAAAAAGAATTTATTCTACGAGTACCTCGTTTTTAATACATAAGACTCGATGAATAGTAGCCTCATGATTGTGAAACTCGGTAAGGGGTTAATGGATAACCAAGATACTTTTTAAATCGTCTAACAACTCGACACTGAAATGGTCCCCGTCGTTACGGATTTGAAATTGAATAAGATGACCGAGGAATGACGAATGGTGCTCGATTACGTTTAATTGACGGAAGTGTCGATAGTATGGGGCCCAAAAATGGCCCTCCCCGTTGTACCACGGTATCCATCCAACGACATCTCGTGGAGAAACGAAGGGAAGTTTTCGGTTTTCCGAGATGGTCGATGAAAAACGAACGCGAATACGGAGGGGGGCGCGTATTTCCACGGTACCATTTTCTACGCGTCGTTGCTCGAGGCGGCGGAAAATGAAACGCGGCGGATTTTGTCGGCACCCGCCGCCAGCAGCGAAAATTTTAATACGGGGAGAACCGCGCCTTGGAACAATGGAGGCGAGAGAGACGCGACGATCGAACAAACGAACGAACAGAACAAGAAACAAAACAACAACCAGTGACGACACGACTGCAAAACTATACGAGACCTGTACCTGTATATACTAACATTACTATTAATTATTCGATATAATTTAAAAGGTAATATAATTATAAGGAGCTCTAATTTATGAATACCTTTATATTATATATTATGTATATGTACATCGTCGTCGATTGGCGAGAAACGGTAGGCTGCGCTGCAAAACGGTAAAATCCTTTTCGAGCCCCGGGACACGGTTTTTGTCGGAAAACGTTCAGGTAATTTATTACTACGCACGCGTACTCCGTAGCGAAACGTTGAATCGAGAAAGAACGGACAAAAAAAACATAAAAATAGAAAAAAAAGAGAAAAAAAAAAAAGAAATAAGGAAATAAAGCTTTCGGTGATCGAGTATCTATATATCTATATTTATACACGTTCATATACATAACATATACATATATATATTAAAATATATATATATATATTTTTTAGGCGTCCTTTTGTCGTGGAATTTTCGAAATGGAAAGCATAGTCTCTCGGTCCACGCGAACGAATTTTTTCATTTTTCCTTTCACGCCCGCCAAAACCCACGCGCACACACAAGACACAAGCTCAAAAGTTTCGAGCAATCTTCCACGCTCGATAGATGGGAACCATTTTTCAATTGTCGATGAAAATTATAATTATATTCGAACGTCGACGTCGCATTTTTAATCTGTAGACCGAGTACCTGTTCGATCGTGAATGCCCATGTAGCTTGAAAGTTAATAAAGATGGTTTAATGATTGTTGCTCCACAGAAGACGTAGCTATGACATTTATTTTGATACTAACATCACTAAAGCTAAAAAAATAATTATTCCGAATTAATAACTTGGCCCTCTAAGCTGTGTCTATCGATTCTTCAGTTCCGAACGAATGGCGTCCAAACTTTTCTAAAAGAGCCACTTAAAAATGAAAGAAAACGATACAAGAAAGAAATGTTTACGTCGTATCTTAAAAAGAACTAAATAACTCGAAAATGATCGAACTCGGTACTTCGTGTTTCCGGTATATAATATTTACAAAATGGCGGTTTTATCTCACGAATTCTTTCGATGCTAAAGAGTACAATTTTCCGAATGAAACCAATATACGCGTGCAAAAAACGATTTACTGTTTATGAAGATCGAAGCGTGCTTGAAACGTTTGAGCATCACATTCGCACACATACAGAGACACACGAAACACAGAACCCTGCCTCGAACTCCGCCTTTCTTCGCGCTATTCTTCTCGTTTCGATCGATCGTTTCGAACGGACAGTTTCTTCTCCATCGTCGCCGATGCGGGGAAACGATAATCCGAGAATCCGCGATTTTAATCGTCACGGTTGATCGTTCTCCAACGGAGAAACGTTCTCTAATCTTTCCCATCTGATCGCGATCGCGCACAAATTCTCGTCCGTGCTCGTCGCGATCAAGGATGAAATTAACCCCGGAAAGACCGAGCCACGCGAAGAGAAGGGGTGGTCGTCGAGCCCACTTACGTTTACCGTGCTTCTAATTGCAGAACGATCATTGCAAAACACTATTTTAAGATACTTCCCAGGCGTGGTCATCGATCAACGTCCTATTAATAATCACTTACTGTTTTAAAACTCGTAATAATTTCATACGCAGCGAACAAATACTTGTAAACTTCGCTCGAATATCTCGAAGAGCGATTCGATTCGTAAACGAACTGATAACGTAATATTGCAACTCAGGAAACAACAAATTTCTGGGTGACTGATTCATCCGCGTACACGATTTTATTTTCACTCTGAAACGTAAGCGACAATAACTGATTTTTTTTTTTGGAAATACTTTACCGACCGACGGGGCTTTCCAGGGTTAATTTCGACAAACACACAGTATTCGAAGAGAAGGCATTAAATCGTCGATCGATTCGCGGTGTTAGGTGTATAAAAAGAAAAAAAAAAAGAAACAAAATTTCTTTCGAGCATAATTCGACGGGGCGAAGACTCGGGCGCGATTCTCGAATCGGGAACAAATCGAAAGCGCACACTAAACACGGATAAACACACCTCACGGGTGAAGAGAATTCGCTGAATCGTAAACTGGGGACGAGAGAAGAACGAAATCTAGTCAAAAAGTATAAAAATGAAAAAAAAGAACGAAGAAAACTCTTAACACACCGGTCTCGTGGGTATTTCGTGTATAATTTAAACAAGATCCGCCCGAGCCTTTCCTCGAACTCGAAAATCACGCTTCGATTCAACGTAAACGGCTAGCACGTAACAAGAAAGGTATCTTTCTAGGTCTAAGGTCGTTTTAGAGAAACGCTACAATCGACGAGAGGTGTAAAAAATTCTTTTTTAAACAGAATCTTCACCGCGTGCCGGCGTTGGGCCGAACGTTGCTCCCCTCGATCGCGAAACCACACTTCTCGTTACCACTGAATCAACAGAGTCAAAAAATTGAAAAAGAAAACGGAAGAGTAATCTTCCATCGAGTAAAATTGCAAATGTGATTTCAACGATCGTCACGATTACTTTCCCATCTGATCGATTGGGACAAGTAATCGCGAGGGTAATCGATTGCTGCCCAACTCTGACACGTACAATGATTCCCCCACTTTCGTTCGATTTCGTATCTTCCATCGGTTTCGTGGTAATTTCGTCGCTCTTCGTACTTCCATTAAGTTTTAAGTGCCGCAATCGTCGACAATCGAAGTCACTGAAAAAGCGCAGCCTACCATTAGACGCGAAACGGTCGATCGTCGGCCGGCGATTCGCCAAACGGGGCCGAGACTACTCGAAAAAAAAAAAAAGAAAACGTTTCTCTACTCCATTATTCGAACGAGTGTCCCACGAAGGACTGGACTATTCCAATACTCGTAACATCCAATTATCCACAATCGGTACTATTTTCATTCGATCGTCCAAATATTACGTTGCTCGAATGGTCGCGGCTCTACTTCGAA